GAAGGCGATTTCTACGAAACACTACTCCTCCGTTAATAATGGACGGATTTTTACAAACGATGTGTCAAAATTAAGTATTTTTGTGTAGACGCCCCCTTTCATCAATTCCTGTAATAAAAGTCCTCGGGCTTTGCCCCACAGGCCATCAAAATTTCTTATAAAGAAACTTTACTAACACAGCTGTTTTATAAATCTTATTTCAGTTGTGGAATTTGTCAAGTGTCAAGATAGTTTACGTCATGTGTACATGTTGTTTGAATTATTCTCTACTGTATTCGCACCCCGTAGCGAAGCATGGTCAGAGCAAATAGTATAATATATTTTCTAAAAAAAAAGAAACAACTGACGACAACCAAAGACCATGAATATAAAATGTTTAAGATTACTAAAGACCTACCTTCCAAGCTGTTTAGTTTTTCCTAGAGGAGACTTGTTTGTACTCATTTAGCAAATTTCTCCATATATATCCATAAACAAGTAAACTACAACAGTTTTCATTTTCTCCATAAGAATAACATGGGCATTTAAATTTAGACTTTATTGAATTTTCTCTGTAACCATTAGGCATACAACAATGCTTCAATGTACTTAATTATTTCTTTTTTTAGCTCTTCAAAATGGTTGGGAAAGATACTCCAAATTTTTATGGTTTTAGGGTAAAAAATGGGAAAACCCTATAAAACCCCCAATAAACCCCGGTTTCCATAGTCCGATCATGCTGGTTCGCGAACTCGTTGGAATAAATGTAGGTTTACACGTTTATACCAAATTTCATCAAAATCTGATAATTTTGTTTGAGTTATCGTGCTACCGGTCACATATATATATGAATTTGTACGGATGGTGTTTTTGGCCTCTAGGGACCTCAAAAGGAAAAAGCAAATCGGTCCCGGGTCCAGGTCTCGCCATGAGACCTACGGTAACAGCTTATTCCCAATATAGGAAATTATATATATTATTCCCCTATATATATGTGGGCTTTTGAAATTTCCAAAAATTGTTTTTTTCTTTTCCACTAAAAAATGGAAATGCCCAAATTTCATTACAACCACCCTGTAGAGCTTAAAAACTGAATAATTTTGTATATGTAAGTGTTGCACGATTAAAGGTAACGGAGAAAATTACAATATGTTTTACATTTTTAATTCCCATGTTGTTATTGAGAAAAAGAAAACTGTTGTAGTTTACTTGTTTATGAATATATGTGGATTAAATTTGGCAAATTTATTTATTTCATTTTATACCAATCATGCTTGGTCAAAAAAAAAATACTTTTACCTTCCCCGTAGCAACAAATCTAAGCACTCGTTAAATCTAATGTCATTTAAAGGGTGAACAAATGTGTCTTGTTTTTGGAAACATTCTATCAAAAATCCATTCAGTCAAATTGAAATTCGCCTAGTCTGCAGATTTGTTGCGGCGGGGATATTACTATACTCATCTTGTAACTGTCTTTTGATCAATTATTCTCAAAGATGTAGTGTTAATATATTTGTTTTTATTTTAGTGATTATCAATAGCTTGGACAATATCCATGTTCAATCTGGTGTGGATGAAGGTTTAGGATTCATCCAGTCGCTTGTAAATGTTCACTTCAACTGTGTCCTCAGAATCACAAGTCACGATTATATGAGCGGGCAGCTCTTTTTGGACCATAGTAAGTTAATTTACCTGAACACAACAATGGATTTATGTCTATATTTATTCTTTTTGTCTATGCCTTGTCAAGGCATTGTCAAGTGATCCTTCAAGAACGTTTCGTCCATTGTAGACTCGTCAAAAAACATTTAAATAAATACACATAAAACACGATACATTGTACGAAACATTTAACACTTAGTAGGCCAACTATTTACCGGTCGCGGCACGGAGGAAGACTGGCTGGAATTATGTAACCCCGACCCCTTATCCGTTATCAGTCGTACTGCAAAGGTCAAACTGTTCCTGTCTATTGTTGTGAGCTATTATGGTGATAAAAATTGAATGAGATTTGAAGTTTCGCTGGTCATTTAAAATATTTTAAAGTTTATTTTAAACCAAGTATTATAGATAAAATAATAACGAAATTAAAGAACAAACCAAATGAACCCGAGAAGAAATACATTTGTATAGAATACAGCCACATAGCTCACAACGGGCTCAACAAAGTTTTAAAGAAACATGGGCTTCAATAAAACTTCAGGACCACAAATAAGACTATAAAATCTCTGTCAAATAAAATTACTGATGAAAATAAGCTTGAAAAGTCTGGGGTCTACAAACTAAAATGCGTGGATTGTTCTGATTTTCATATTGGACCAACTGGCAGGACCTTCAACCAATGGCACAAAGAACATTGCCCCGACCCCAGAGCAGACAAATAAAAATCCACTTTTGCCCAACATTTATTGGATAACAATCACACCGTAGATGTAATTGACAACAGTCTGGAAATCCTTCACATTTGTAACAAAGGTAACAAATTAGACTCTCTAGAACAATTCGAAATCTATAAAAGTTTCCAAGACATCCACAATAAAAACCGTATTTTAAATGACCAGCTAAACTTCAAATCTCATTCAATTTTTAACGTCATAATAGCTCACAAAAATAGACAGGAACCTTTGCAGTACGACTGATAACGGAGAAGGGGTCCAAGTCCAAGTCTAAATGACTGTGGCGACTAGCACCACGTCTCGTGAAGCTCCGGGGTTACATAATTCCAGCTAGTCATTTAAACATTTAATAAGTGTTAAATGTTTCGTACAATGTATCGTGTTTTATGTGTATTTATTTAAATGTTTTTTGACGGTCTACAATGGACGAAACGTTCTTGAAGGATCACTTGATGCCTATAGGCGAAACATTATAGGCGAAACATGTAAAGTTTTTTAATATTTATTTGGTAAATAAATAATAAATAAATGTCCAAGGTTTACAATGATGAATACATATAAACCTTTTATTAGTCAAATTGTACAAATAAGTAGGGTTATATATTTAGATGAAACTCTTAATCTCAGGGTTCTAGGAATGTGCCGGCTTAAAGTAGGCTTATGTGATGTTGGATAGGCATAAGCCAATGTTCATCACAAGTTATGTACAGTTCAATTTACACTTTTGAAAAGAAGAAAGTTCAAATTTTGAATTTAGTAAAATGATAATTTAGGTTAAAGTTCAAAATTGCAAAAGTCAATAGAAATTTTGGAATGTGAGTATTTAGCAAAGTACAAGTTCAGTTTGATCTCACCCAAAAGTTTATAGTAGTCTTCTCCACAAATATATTTCTTGAGGTAGAAATGATATGTATTAAATAATTGAGAAAAATCTTGACATTTTAAATACTGTACTGTTAAGTTAAATCACCAATTAAAATTTTTAAATCATCTTCCTGTCTTGCTTCTTCATTACTTATTCTCAATTGAAAAAAATCTTGATTCTTGATGTTCAATTTCATACATCTGTTTCAACAATTAGTTCACTGGTTTCTTGATGTCACTATTCACTGTTACTTTTATGATTGGTTGGTATTATATGAAGAGTATTTTAATTACATTTTTGAAAGTGAAAGAGAAGAATAATTTTGTAAAATAATTCAAACTGTATAAATAACTTCCAGTGATTATAAATTTAGCTTATTAAATAAATGACAGTGTTTGATGAGAATGTGAAATATGGAAATTTACAATAGGTGGAACCTTTTGCCCTTCTACTGTATGTAAACACATGTGATAATTTAGAGGTATTAATTTAGCTAATAGTAGGCTTAGGTATTTGGATACATAACACATGGTTTATTAACATTCAACTTATATACAAATTCAAAAGTAAACAATGAGGATAATTTTGGAACATCTCAATTATCCCCTCAGAAATCTGGTATTTGAGTATCCAATACTAGATTTCGAATAATGTGAACAAAATTATTATAGAAAACATTAATATTGGAATAGGAAAATACTTAAAATTAACAAGTTGTATCTTCTGAATAAGAGAAAACATAGTAATGAACAAGGTGAAACAAAGAAAAGTTGATAAGTTCTTGGGAGATTAATGAGGTATACGAATTCACTTGAATAGATCAATATGAAAAGAATGATAGTATATACAATATTTACAATTAGGTCATGAATAAACTTGACAGGTTTTTGGTGATTAGATCTCTTCATTGATCGGAGGTAGGTAATGCTTGAGTGCAGAAACATGGTATGGTCCAAGTTCTTGTTCTTCATTTGGAAGAAAAACTATGTACGTTGAATCTCCTAGTGCTCGGTGAATCCTGAACGGTCCTTCATACACATCGAATAATTTTGCAGTCTCTCCTAATATAGCATGTGATAGAGGATGTGCTTTTATCAAAACTAAGTCGTTTGGTTGAAAGGTGGTGGCTTTATGATGTCTATTGAATTTTGCTGCTCTCTTCCTTCTCTTCTCTCTAATTCGCTGAGAAGCTAGAAAGACTTTTCTTTCCATTGGTATATCTGTAATGAAAGGGTTAGTGATGTACCTCTCCCAGAAGCATGGATCTCTTCGGCCTAAGTGTAGCTCGTTCGGAGTGAATCCGGTCGTCTCATGGTGTACTTCATTTAAAAACTTGTTAATGTCAGGAATAAAGCGTGCCCAATTTCTGTGTTGATGGTATCAATAGGTTCTTAAGCATCTTTTAACCTCTTTAATAGGTCGTTCAGCCATATTGTAACAAGGGTGATATACAGGGCTAAAGACAGGAATGATGTTATTCTCCTCAAGTTTTCTCATCCAAGCTCGGCTTTTGAATTGAGAGCCGTTATTGCTTTGTATCTTTCTGGGTTTTCCGAATTGTATGAAATGTGTACCGAAGAGTTTATTTAGATGGTCTTGGTGTTAGCGCTTCTGATTGGATAAAGTTTTATAAATTTAGTGAATATATCAATTGTTATAAGGATGAATTTAGTGTTGCCTACACTAGTGGGTAGCGGTCCAATTAAGTCTATGGCAAGATGATCATTTTTTGCAGTGCAGTGAATTCCTTTGGCTAATCCATGGTGTGGATGTGGGTTTACTTTGCACTGGGGTTGCACTGGGTTTACTTTGGGGTTACTTTGCGGTTGGCGGTCAAGTTGGTCTATGACGTCTGTCCCTGTATTATCACAGGTGCGTGTTCATTCATTCATTGTTTCCCTCCAGTATCTTATAGCTGGATTGTAAATACAGTTGGATTGGAGGAAGAGTTTATCATTCAAAACATTTCGATGGTCAGCTATAACCGCTCTGTATATTTCAAACTCTTCCAATGTGTTTCTGGTTAAACGGTCCTGCTATAAATGTAAAACTTCCATATTACAATTGATGTCTGAATAATTGTGGTTGTGTAATACAGATGTTCTGCAAAATTAATGTTCCTTAAATCTCTTCTTAAACGAGCTTGACGTCTGACCAGTGTAGTTGTTCGTGCAGTCATTACAATTTATTTTGTAGACTCCAGACTTATCGTAGATAGTTGAACTAGTTTCTGTTTGCTCTTTCAATAGAGATCCAAGTTAATTGTTCGTCTTGAACGATACGGTGAATTTTACAGTGAACTCTGTTAACGACCTTCGAATTAAGTGATTACCTGACACCTTGAGGCCTGATTATGGTTCAGAAGAACCGAAACTAGTTGCCAAAAGCAGCAACAAAGGATTACTATATGCCGGTATTGTAAACCATTTTAAGTATAATACAGTAATCCGGAGGCTAAACAACTATTTTAATTATTTCAGTTTGAAATAAATACTTTAATATATTAAGTCTTAAATATTTTACTATTTTTCACAATATGACCTAAGTTTTTCATTTATGAGTTTTATATATGTTTCGCAGTATGTGAAAAATATGCAGATGCAGTAGCCAACAACTGCAGTCCTGATCTGATTCTGGATCTTACTGTGGATAGAGAGATGTCTGAGGCCGCTAAAACATTCTCTGCGAATCTTGGCATCCCTACAGTGGCGGCCGCTCATTCTATGTTTGGCGACCTCAGGTCTAAACAAATATTGTTTTGATTCTAATAGCATAGGACCTATGTTACTTTGGAATTATTTACTGTATTATAGGTGTCAAAATAGTGTTGGAAAATATCACACGAGTGACAGCTCTTGCGTATTTCATTTGAGTTATCTTAGGATCAAAAACTTAATAATACAGCATAATACATTTTAGTAGTATTTACCATATTATTTGTCGCCTCTGTCTTTGAGTAATAGTTGTAAATTATCCTATGTGACATCTTCAGGGGATACCATCACACTAACACTATGGGTCGTCGGAATTTTATCCACCAGGAAGTTTACCCTCTGGACAAAGCTGACGTCCCTATGACGTAGTAACCTGAGCTCTCAAAAGTTTGTTCACGGGCGGAATTTCACCCCCGCGGATTTGGTAGTCTAATCTTTATGAAAATAGACAGAGCGTGATAAATTAGATTAGCAATAAAAACCGAAATTTTACCCCCTGTCCATATAACTAGTGTTTAGACAACTGTAGATGTACAGTTGTCTAAACTGCCCGGATTTTCACCTCCTGGCTACCTCCTGGAGATATAGAAATTATTGAGAATGATTAATTTTCTTCTTTCAGTTTTAATTTAATAGTTAACATTTTATTATAAGTAGGCTATCTTAATTTATTTGTAATCTCAACTAAGTAAATCAGTTTTGCTGTTTAATTTTGATATTCGGAATTTGGGTTTGGGGCCAACTGTTGATTAATATGTAATAATGTATAATAAACTGAGTAACTTATCATATTGGGTGAACACGTCTTTAACAATTTATTATACCACCGTGGAAAAAATGTATTTAGTTTCTGTTGTATAATAACACAATGTGCCTCTTTGTTTCTTCAGCCACAAACCATGACCTATTTATGGTTTGTACTGAGAAAGGTCATCGAAACACCTGTTAAAAAATGAAGTAGTAGGCATACGGTAAAAGGTATTTGACCAATTGTTGTATTGACTACTGCAAGGAAACCCAAATGTTTGTATATACATATTAACCAACAGTTGGTCCAAAAAATTTAATCCCGAAACTCGAATATTAAAATTAAATTCAAACCCTGTTTGATTAGTTAAGGTTACAAATAAATTGAAATAAGCTACTTAATAATAAAATGTTTACTTTTAAATGAAAACTTAAAGAATATTAAAGAATATTCCTGGGGTAAAAATCCGGGGGGTAAAATTCCGGGGGTAAAACTCCGGGCCATACATTTTGAGCTGACCTCATGAGGTAGTAAAAGTCCGGGGGTAAAATTCCGGCCCGTACTCTCTGGGTTTTTATAATTTAATGTGTTCTGATTAAGTTCATAACCGTGAAAATAAACGTTTAATTCCGCCTTTAATCCATCGAACTTATGTTGTGTAACTCAAAAGTTCGCGGCCGGAAATTTACCCCCTGGTTTGTGAAGTCAGTTTTTCCAAGGGGGTAAAATTCCAGGGGGATATAAATCCACTACCCCAACACTATCGCTATTGTCATTGTCTATATATTTACAAATATTTACACACATCATCGTCACATGTTCAATACGGGCAGGCTAAGTGGTAGAATAATGTTGGCGGGAGGTCCTTCTTTTTTCGTTTTAGTTCTTGAAATCGCGGTGTTAAAATTTCAATTTTAAAATACCAGACACTAAACCCAGACTAATTTCTTTCCTCCACCGTCAATTGGCTTAAATTCCAGATTTGCGGACCGAGGAGCGCACAATACCTGCTCTAATAGGAGGTCATAAATAAAATTCGTAGGGATAGGACCGAGGAACGCAGAGGTACCTTGCGCTCCTCTGTCCTACCCGTGCCGAGGAACTAATCCCCTACTTATACGGATTACAAGAGACAATGGCTGGGTCGACCCTGAGAGTAAATCCCATTAGTCGCACCTCACTGAATACACCACTTAAAAATGAAAATGTAGGGAGTAATTTTTAAACTATAAACATTTTAACAGAGACAATGCAAGATACTGTATTATGTATTCAAAGTATCTTACTAATATTATAAATCTGAAAGTTGGCGTGTTTGTTTGTTTGTTTGAAGTTCAATCACACATTAACTACTGGACGGATTGGGCTGAAATTTGGTATGATGATAGCTCACATTCCCGATTAACATATAGGCATATTCTTATCTCAAAAATTCTTTCGGGCTCTTCCCCAGTGGCTCTGCAGTTCCCCATGTTAATCTTATGAGTATTCATATTTAAAGGGAATTAAAGAATTTAGTCAGCTGTTTCAACTAAAAAAGTTGGTTCTATGGTATGCAAAAGCATTAAAAGTTATAAGATTTATCAACAGGGTGCAGCACTATTATTTTTTTATGAAAACAGGTAATTTGAACCAAGCAGCAACAAAAATCCATGATACGCAATGAGAACTGTCAAAGTTGGATTGTTTACACTTATGTTTATGTTTTTAATTTCATGAATAATTTGTGATATTTTGTGAATCTTTAATAATTTATTTTTCTCTAATAGTTTAGCTGAAGTGGTAGAACATTATGGCTATGGTAGATGTGCACCGTAGATGTGGCTATACAATACTGTAAATTTAAAGAAGGACATTTCATCAAACTGCGTCCTCCCCCAAATTGTAAACGCAAAGCTTGATTATAGATGCAATAAGCATTTTATACTTATATGCCAATCCCGTACGAAGGACAGGTACTCTGCTAGTTTATTATAAAAACTATTGGTTTTTGTCCTACGTTGGTTTTTGTCAGCCCATTTTCAATGCAGACAAACTGCATATTTTTCTAAGGGCAGTTTAATACAAATTAAATATTTAACACTAAATAGTACGGAACTAAATTTGCTTTAATTTATTATGTTTAAAATCATATTACATTATATGAGACAGTTAAACTTTCTCTCTGCGTTTCAGAATTATCAAATGCTGTACAGTATTTTGTATTTTGTTTTGCAGGTATAGTTTGTAAAATTCCAATTTAGGTTTGAAGGCATGACGACTATGCTTATAACATGTATGATTCTATGTAACTTGTTTTGATCCTCGACTCGTGATTCATCCTTCATCTCCAACCTGCGGAAACACCTGACATTTTCTCTCGTGGTTGAGTTAGGATATTAAATGACTCAATACTACCGGACATTCGTACTATTTAGAAGCAACGAATACCATTATTGAAACCAATTCTTAAGAACAACATATTATGTTGTGCATTTCCGGCTTAGGTGGGTGAGCCTTTGCTGAAAGTATATTTATTTGCCAAATGACAATGTGCCTGCGCTAAATTTACTTCAAAAAGTAGTGTTGTTTATATAGGCTTTGTTTAAAATTTAAAATAATGTTAGTATAAGAATTACTAATGATTTTCTGAAATTATATTGTCGTAGTAGTATATTGCTAGAAATATCTGAAAGTAAATCGATTGTTTTTATTTTCGATAACTTTTAACTGTTGTATTGCCGACAAAAAAGTGTATCTAATTAAAACCTTTATTCCTCAAGATCCTATAATTAACTATTCCTAACTGATTAGAGCACAAATTGGTTTCATCAGAATTTACTTGGCTATTTCCAAAGTAATGGCATAAGCATCGTTTAGGTAGATTGTACAGCCTCCGTATTATTACCAATAACTATAAACATAATTACTCTATTTGAATGATAAATTCAAATAACAATAACTGGCACACTCTAGACGAATTTCTAAAAAAAGAGTAAACTATAATAGAAATTAAAACCGGTCTTTATTAAAATAGTGTTACTAGTTACAATATAAACTATTTATACCGTAATACAAAATACACTTTTTAGTCTTCAATCAAATGAGAGATAATAAGTAATGATTAACTTACAATCAGTGACATGGTTTTATTTTTAATTTCTTGCAATACAACTAATTTGGTGACCAATTTTACAAATTCTTTTATCCAGCGAGAACAAAGTTATCTTTGAAAAAAACATCAAACCGTAGGCCTACTACAGTTTAAACATTTTTTCGGCCCTACAAACATTAGTAACAATGAATTAAGTTGTTTGACGTTGTGACATGTTGCTATTTATACATTGTGACAGACAATGTTTAGCAATTCAACAAACGTTTTACATGGTGACAACATAAACGCCAAATAAAGATTCGAAAACTAAAAGAAAGTAATACAAATTGAGTTTAAATTAGGAAGATGATTAAAATTGCAATAACTTTAAAATTATATGGAACTAGCTGGCCCGACAGACTTTGTCCTGTCCTAATGTGGTTTTATGTCGAATGCTCGTTCATTTTCAAGATGAGCTCATTTGCATCGCTCAATCACGTCCTGGTTGAAGTTCGTTCGCTACGCTCACTCACCTTTTGGTTGCAAATTAGCTGTTGTCATGAAAAAAGAATACAGTAGTGCTGCACCCTGTTGGCAAACCTATTATTTTTTTTATGATATTGAACATCACAGAATCAAATTGTTTAGTTGAGCCAGCTGTTAAGATTCTTTAATTCCTTTTAAATATGAGTACTCATAAGGTTAACATGGGAAAGTCCAGAGCCACTGGGGTGGAGCCCTTTTGACGGATCTGCACCAAACTTCACACAAACCATCCTTGAATAATGCTTAATAATGCCTGAAAGTTTCATTACAATCTGTCGAGCGGTTTCGGAGTCCATAAAGGACAAACAAACAAACAAACAAACATACATACAAACAAACATACATTGGATTTTATATATATAGATTTGATGTATGCTACCATATAAAGTGATGGCTATGTAACTGTTAAAAATTGTTCCTTTGTACAATCTTGTTTTTGTGATATTATTTTACAATTGTTGGCATAACAATAATGTAAAGCTTATCTCATAAGAAATGTGAAATAAATTGATAATGGCCCTTTGTAGATTTTCGGTAGCGTGTGTGGAGTGGATGGAGTGGACTGTATTTGTTGCGGTCGTCTCATCTTCAATAAGAGTTCAGTGATGTGTTGGTGGACGATAACATAAGCGGAGTTTGATTCTCCATCACACAAATTA